TTTAGTGTGAAATGGACGGAGAAGACGATGTTGAAGTTCGTTTAGCGTCTTCACCTAAATTTGTAATCATTCACGTTGGTATTTTAATAACCGGATAATTAAACCGGGTGAAATTTAATCTTTATCTCCGGTTTTCGATTTTCAATGCGGTTTTTGTTTTTGTTTTTTGTTGCTTGTAAACTAAAACCATCTAGAAACAAAGCAATATTTGATTAGAATATTAGATTCTTCTCAATGTTATTAGGTAACATAACAAAACTGGATTTGTTATATATCTTCTCTGCTCAACTCAAGTTAGAGAATCAGATTCCAAAAAACTTAAATTTACAATTTCTGTTATAAATCTTTGGTGTTATTACAAAATCTTGTATTATTGTGTTCTTTTGACCAAGAATACATCTTTGCTCTTTCGTTCCATGTCGGAAAAGGTTTGTTTTTCTTTCTTTCATTTGAATTTTGAACAATATGTTTTGTTTAAATTTGTTAATTAGATTTTTTTTTTCTTTTGGTTATATTTGATGGTGAAGTGCAGAGGATATGTTGTGTTGTGATGCGGATTAATTTGGATTGCAATGCTTGTTGTAGAAAAGTAAGGAGAATCATCATCAATATGAAAGGTTTGTATATAAATTGGTTTTAGATTCGGTAATTTTGTGAAAGTTGTATTCTTGTATGAATACATTTTTCAATTCGGTGTTAAATATAAACAACTATAGACATAAAAGTTTTTAGTATAATAACAATTTTATCCGATGTCATAAAAAAAAAAAATCATATTCTTTTATTTGTTTCTTTCTAGTATATGTCTATATATCAATGAGTAAAAATGCAATATATATTAGTACTAATACATGTTTTTCGATGCTTGTTCTATGAAGAAATTGATTCACACATGATCGACAAAAAGGAACGTAAAATAATTGTGTGTGGACATTTTAGACCGTCGGATATTGCAATAAAATTGCAGAAGAGGATGAAACGGAGGGTTGAGGTTCTCGAGGTTGAAGATCTCGCCGGCGGCC